GCTTACCACAACGTCCCAACTGATAGTCGTGATCCATATTATCACAATTGGTATGTATATCAAGACAATAATTATATGGGTTACTACCCTGAAACCAAAACTTTTGATAATAATATCCACGGTAACTGGTGGGGCGATGGTGGGACCTACCATAACGTCCCCAAAGAAACCCAATATCCACAAAATGAGACTTACCATCATTCTCATAACCAGCATTCTGCAGTAAACTATATTTGTCATACAAATTTGTTTCAATTTCTCCGAACCAACATTCCATAAATCTTAAAAGTAACACCGAGGAGAAAGGTAGAAATCAGGCATCTCCCCACAAATTTCATAACCCCTCAACTCAATCTAAATTTATTTCAAAACAGACTGCCAATGACAAAGATAGAATTAAATTTTCTTGGCATGGTTCACCAATGTATGCTCATCAGGATAAACCTTCACCACTGTTTCATAATTCGAGAAGAGGTCAACCTCTATACTATTCTTCAACCAATTCTGAGCAGGATTTTTTATCCAAGGAACTGTTCCAAATCGAAAAGCACAAAATTATGTCTTAAACCCCAAATTTGTTAATACAGACCATATAAAGTCATGTAAAGATTCAAAAATGGAACATAATATTTTAGATTTTAAAAATGACTGTATAAATGTACATGGAATCTGATGTTCAGTAGTCGTCGTTTGTTGATGTGGTTCATAAGTGTTTCTCGTTTCTCGTTTTTTATATAGATTAGACCGTTGGTTTTCCCGTTTGAATGGTTTTACACTAGCAATTTTTAGGGTCCTTTATAGCTTGCTGTGCGGTGTGAGCCAAGGCTCCGTGTTGAAGACCGTACTTTGACCTATAATGGTTTACTTTTATAAATTGTGACTTGGATGGAGAGCTGTCTCATTGGCACTCATACCACTTCTTCTTATATCTACTGTGTAAATAAAGTTAAAGATGTATGTAGCACCTCTACTCTGAAGATTTTAGATTTTGATTGCAAAAGTATATTGACCTGTGGTCCACTATTTAGAGAGTTAGAGAGAAAAATTGATATATTTCTTCTCCAAGAACACTGGTTATATGACTGCCAACTCAATATCCTGCAAGAACTACATAATGATTTCACCGGAACGGGTAAAGCAGTTGATTCTAATTATCCTATTCAACCTTCTCAAATGCCCCGTGGATATGGAGGTGTAGCCATTTTATGGAAAAAGAATCTTGATAAACTTGTTACAACCTTTCCCAATTGGAAATGAGAGAATACAATATATTGAGTTGTCTGGAAATCAGAAATTATCATTTATATCTATTCATTTTGCCCTGTAAATCTTCATATAATCATCTAAATGAGCTTTACGAATGTATTCAACAACTAAATGAGATCATGTAAGTATATAAAGCCACTCACCAGATAATTATTGGTGGAGATTTCAATGAAAATTCTAATAGAAAAAGATATATACTTAACTTTATGTCTGATCATAATTTGACTACCACAGAAGTTCGAATTACCTATACACATACAGGTGGCAACTCATGTTCAGCAATAAATTATATACTCTTCCAAGAAAAAATTAGAGACTGTATACTAAATATTGAAATAGCTGTTATTATCTCAAATGTATCAGGTCATCTTCCAATTTTACTTCGACTAAAATATGAACTACCTTGCAGAAATTCTGTAGCTCAAAAACAATCTATCAGTAATAAAGTCAAGTGGAACAAAATTGATAAAGATATATAAATATAAAAAATTAATTGAAGAAGGTATTGCCTTTAATACTAAAAGACAAACCACAGAACCCTACTAAACTGGATGAAGCATTTGTGACTCTCAATCATACTATAACTAAAGCTACAGTTGCAGTTGCTCCCAAAAAGCAAAATAAAGAAAAAGAAAAAGAAACTACAAATCATGACTGAAAACATATTTCAAGCAATTGCAAAGAAAAAAAATGCATTTTTTAAATGGAAACAAAATGGTCGTCCATCTGACCCCAACAACCCTTACACTCTTCAAAAGAGAATTACCACCTCCTCACTTTGGAAACAATATAGAACCCAACAACCCTTACACTCTTCAAAAGAGAATTGCCACCTTCTCACTTTGGAAACAATGTAGAATAGAAGTTGCACTCCATAGAATACAAGAACGTTAGAAAATCATACATGCAGGGTATAATGATTCGGCACTTTTTTATAGCCTTAAAAAAAAACAAAGAAGAAAAATTTCACGTTTTAATGAAGTATTGACAGTAAAGGACGAACTTTTCCAATCCCCAGAGAATGTAATGAAGGACTGGAATAAACATTGTGGAGATCTAGCAAAAAAAACTAACAATACTTCTTTTGACACTAAATATTTGAAATCTTTTGAAAAGGAAGCTACCATTGTTAAGAAAAATATATTCACCAGGAAATTTCAACTGAAGAGATAAAGAAAGCTTATTCAAAACTCAACACAAACAAAGCTGAGGACTTCTACGGTTTAACTGCAGAACATTTTATTCATGGAAGCGAGTAACTACTACTACATTTACAACAATTTTTAAATGTTTGCTTTAAATTCTGTTACATACCAGATTTACTGAAAATTGGAACTTTATTTCCGGTGTACAAAAATAAGGGAGATATCAAAAATACCAAAAATTATAGAGGAATTACTATAACTCCAATCTACCAAAAAATTATTGAAAAAATTTTAAAAGAAAGAGAAAACCCGAAAATTCTAATTTGTCAAAACCCACTGCAAAAAAATTTTCACTGAGGGTACGTCTCCTCTGATCTGTTAACTATTCATAGAAGAATTTGAAAGGGAAAGCAAAGACCTTAAACTTTTAGTTAACATAGCTCTATTAGATGGCAGGTCAGCTTTTGCTGTTGTGGTACATGCTAACTTGATCTGCCGTTTGTTTCAAACAGACTTTTCGGAACAATCAATATTACTACTGAATAATTTATATGAAAATGCATCCTCATGTATTAAATGGAATAATATAATATCGAAACGTATGTTTACTATTGCCCAATGTTTTTACTTAAATATATCAAGTGATGACAGTCGTATAGTATATTATTATTGTGTATTGAAATTTTCCTCCGAGTGATTGGATCGAAGTGTTCCTTTATTGGCAGAAATTCGTTTACAGATTATAGATTGGTCAAATCTTATTGCTAAAAATAAATGTTTGTTGGAGTTATCTCATTTTATATGTAATGTCAAGAGAGAGTCTGAATGACATTGATGGAATGGGAAAATTTGAGTCTAAAAATACAAACTCGTAACTCATAAGACATACATCAAATAACACGTTAGATTTTTTTTCACGGAATTTTTTAAAAATTTACTATCTGGATGATAAGTTCTATTCAGACAAAAATTAACAGGTTTTTAGAAATACTTTTTATAATTAATCATTTACTGCGAGACTTATATTTCCAATCGGCTGTAGGGAGACGGAATAATTACGGTTGACATACTTTTGTAGGTCTGCTACGATTCATTCCGACAACAAAGGTAGGCGAGTTCTACACCATTGTGTAGATAAATCAATTTAGATTTACGTCATAACAAGTTTTAGCGAGGTAGACTACCGAGAGATCGAAATTTAACAAAAGTTCGCGACCGGGTGACATTTTTCAAACATGCGAGTTAAATATCTTGTGTTATATTAAAGTATTTAGGATTTTTTTTCAGAGACAAGTGCCTATGTACGTTTGGTGTGAAATTAAAACTTGTTAAGGGCGTTTTTTATTCGTCAATATTTTTATTATATTTATTTATGGACCATAAAAATGATATTTTTCATAGCGCTCATAGGGACCTAGTGGCATCATATTTCTCGACTACTTCAAACATATGTTGAATAATCTGACTGATATACCAGCTTGTCTGTTATTACTGAAAATAGAACATTTGGTAAAATCGGAAAAGTTAATAAATAAAGTTGTCTCATAAGTAAGCATACTATATATTTAGTCTTAGATACATGATTTTTTTTATTAGTTGTTATTGGCTTTGAACTAGCTGTCAGTAACTGCGAGTACTCTCAGATCTGTACTTAGTGTCCTTTTTTTTTTTGTTAGGGATGAAGGATGGAATAATACCCTGCCACGTCCGGTCTGTGTTTATGCTTGATGCTTTTCTTTTATGTATTGATCTGATGAGTTGAGCCTTTCTCAACTGATTTTTATAGTTTGTTCTTATGTTGTGCTGATACACCACTGTCCCAGGTTAGGGGAGGATTGAGCGCTCATAAACATGTTTAACCCCGCCACATTCTTTATGTGCCTGTCCCAAGTCAGGAGCATGTAGTTCAGTGGTTCTCGTTGGTTCATGTCGGTCATATTTGTTTTTCGTTAACTGTTTTGTTATAAATTAGGCCGTTAGTTTCCCCATTGAAATGTTTCATATTTTACATGTCGGGGCCTTTTATAGCCGACTATACGGTATGGGTTTTTATCGTTGTTGAATGCCGCACGGTTGCTTACATCCACTTTATTTGAACTTTGGTGGATAGTTATCTCATTGGCAATCATACCTCATCTCCTTATTTTTATATTTACTTTTGTTTTGTATATAGGACCGTTTTTATGTACTATGACGTGTAATAAGAAGTTAAAGATTATATATGTGTCAATATTTACGTTTGACTCTCTATTACCCACAATGACAGTGATTTTACGACAAAACTGAAATGACACAGATGTGTCTGGTTTTTATATTACATGGTTTTCCATTGATGTACCCCACGACCCGAGCTCATAGATTTACATTATTGAAAATCACTGAAGCCACAACTGGCACTCATATTAAGAACAATGTATTATGAAAGTGTGGGTTACATGTTAATGAGAACCTTAAGTTTTTAGATTATTGTTACAAAATGCTAGTTTGAAAATATGTTGTAAAATTTACAGTAGCCATTAAACCACTGTAGCAAGGAACAGTATAATGTTTTTCTTTAAATTAAACACACATTGTGACTTTATTTCACAGGTTGCCGAGTCAGCGCTAGTTGGATATACAGTAACGAGTTTGTCAGCAACAGATAATGATTACAGTGAAGATGGAGACATTCAGTACTCAATCGTCTGTAAGTGCTTTTTCATTCTGTAGTGCGTGGCAGTTATATTATATGAAAGTTTTCAGAGCCAAAAAAACAGGTAGGCGGAGAATGAGGAATCCCTAAAATGGTCAAGGTTACGAGAAAAATTGTTCTGGCTTAATCCAACCCCTCACCTAAAATGAAAGAATATAAAAGAAACATTCAAACTTCACTCCGATTGTCAAACATGAATTTTTTAAAATGTAACAAACCTTGATTATGTTTTAAACCGCCCTTCCCTACACGAGTTTTCCGCCGAATCATTTTCAATGTCATATTTTAAAGGTAAAAGGTGTGAGGAAATTTTAAGTTTTGGTTCTAAAAAGCAAGTATTTTTTAAAAGAGGCAGGATAGCTAGATAGTAGTAATTGTACATATATTTCTTTAAATTGTGTCTTGTGTTTTTATCTTTTGGAAGTAAAACAGACTATCATGCATGGGTGAAAAACATGCACAATGGGAACATTTTGGTTTGCTATCTTATTTTTGATAACACTACAGGATTTTTTTTAATGTGTAAGATTTTAATGAAAATAATTAGCCATATGTAACATACTGTAATAGAAAAACAAAGGAGATGAGGTATCAATCCATGACACAAAATCAGTACATGCACAGCAAAAAAAAAACACACAAAAGCAAAGGAACGGCGCTTTTATTGCTGTTCTTCATCTCAGTCACAGTGAGGCCCTTAAGTATGCTGTAACGAAACATAAATACTGCGTATGATTTTAAGATAAGTTGATCAAGAGTTGTAGGACTTGAATTGTCAAAAACTAGGCTTTTTTCATATGTTTCACCGCAACTATAATATTCTTTGTAATACTTTTAAAATTCGGTTATGCAAACACAGGCTATATTTAGATTTTGTTTATTTTCGTTTATTTGAGTACTTGTTCAGGTGTTATGGTACTGATATCTATAAATATCTCATCTGTTAACTCAAGTTTGCTCTTACCTAATCACAGCTAGGGTGTGATCGATAATTTCACAACTAATGAATACAAGCTGTCCCTTCAATATTGACAATTTGCAGATGAATTTCTTTCAGAATTCAGGAAACTTTTTGTAATCGTCAGAATTTAGGCAATCATGCATTTTTATGCAAAATCTCATGATCTTATTTTTACAACATGATTTATTAAGACACAGCACATGCTTAATTGTACCTGTCTATTTTCATCTTGAGTATGGATTATAGAATTACATGACTTTGATCATGGTTGGTGGTTGAAAGATAAGTAATTTCAGGGGATGATACTTTAATCGTTAAGGAAAAGGCTATTTATTCATGAATAAATAAATGAAAACAGATATGAGATCATGTCATTGAGACACCAACCCTACGACTCAAAAGACCCTTGAAAACTTCAAGTATGCTTTCACGAATATACTAATGAATATTTTACACACGGATTTTTGTCATTCAATATCACTTATTAAATCTATATAAAATGATCGTTCTCACTTATTTATTGACGGGCGTATCAAGCGTTCCTGTCGCAGCTAATTCTTTCTTTTTATTCCTCTCCATTACTATGTCTAATGCAAAATTTAAAGTTATTATACATTATTTCTTTATACGACTCAGTTAAAAAAACACAATTCAAACATACAGTTTACTTGCTTTGGCAGCTGGAAACACTGATAACTCCTTCCGTATTGACGCAGCAGAAGGGTATCTTACTCTAATAAAGAAACTAGACTATGAAACAACTACATCGTATGTTCTTCACATCAAGGCTGAAGATGGCGGCACTCCCGCAAATTCTGCTACCTGTACAGTTTCTGTAACCGTATCGAACGAAAATGACAATGAACCAACATGCACAACGTTGTCAGTAATAACAATTTTGGAGACAGCTTCCGTTGGCGATACGGTAACTAATTAGAAAATTAGAAAACATAAATCAAGAGAGGAAGGGAATCAAATAAAAATTTCTTTTGAGCAAGTAAACTTTTTTTTTTTTTTTTTAAACGAAAGAATAGCTCATTTTTTTAAATTTCTGTATCGAATGGAAGCGTAATAGCTTATACATTGTTTTAAAGTTGTCTTCACTGAGGAGTTGAGTTGTCTTGGTCCTTGACGAATAGATAACCAAAATTTACCCGCCTTAAAAAAATCAAATTGCAATTAAAAAAATACGTTTGAAGTGGAAACAATTTTCCTTTAATCTCATTTGATTTAATTTGTACAATTCAAAATTATACGATCTAGTATGTGTAGTTCTAACACGTTATGTAATTATGCATAAAAAAAGTTAACGAACTCGTACACAGACAACAGAAAAGTTCAGTCGTTTATAGTTCATATTTTATACTGTCGAGATATCAAATATGAACTTTGATAAGTGTCCAAAAAATGTTTGCTATAAACTTCTACACGTCAATTCAAAAGTATTTTGAATTTTGATATAGTTCTGATAGTTCTTAAGCAAACAATTCAACTAAACATGTGACTACAACGAAAGTTATGTAAGCACATGTAGCATATTACTAGTTTGCGTTTGATACTAATCAAAATCATTATAACAATTATTTACTTATATTTTGTAGGTTACAACTTTGTCTTGTAATGACCAGGATGGAATCGGAAGTTTATCATTTAGTACAACAGTGACCAGATTTTCTGTTGATGCAACATCAGGACAAGTAACTCTAGCTAATTGTAAGTTACTTTCAACCCGCCAAAGTTCAAATGAAGTGGATGTGAGCAATTGTAGGCAACCTTGTGGCCTTCAACAATGACAAAACCTATACCGTATAGTCGGCTATAAGGCCCCGACATGAAAAATATGAAACAATTCAACTGAAAAAACAAACGGCATAATTTACAACAAAAAATTAACGAAAAAACAAATATGACAGACATGAACCAACGACAACCACTGAACTACAGTCTCCTGACTTATGACAGGCACATATAGAATGTGGCCGGGTTAAACATATTTGAAGGCGCCCTCCACCCTAACCTGGGACAATGGTGCAACGGCACAACCCAAGAACAAACTATACAATACAATAAACGAAGAACAAACATGAGAAATAGCAGTAAACGACCACTCAATTACAGGCTCGTAACTTGGGACAGGCACATAAAGAATGTGGCTGTGTTAAACATGTTTGAAGGCGCCAACCCTTCCCTATCCTGGGACAGTGGTGTAATAGTACAATATTAGAACAAACTATAGAAATCAGTTGAAAAGGGCTTTACTCATCAGATCGATACAAAGCAGAAAAACATAAAAAAAAACAGACCGGACGTGGCAGGGTATTTATACATACCAAAAAAAAGGAGACAAAGTACAGATCTGTGAATACTCGCAATTACTGACAGCTAGTTCAAAGCCAAACATAATTCATAAAACAATCATGTATCTTAGACTTAAATATCAATTAGTAAACATCCAACTTCCAATGGATTTAGTATAAAGACATCATTAACAGTCAGAGAAAAAGCATGACCTTGTGCAATGGCCAAATATAGGTATCAGATTGTAGTACCGTGAATGTGCATATGCGTATAACAATGATAATTAGTATGGTTTTAGTTTACTGATAACAAAATCAATAGTTGTACCAATAAAAACAATATTCAAATATATAATAATTACAGTGTTGAATTAGAAATCTTTTAGAATAAATTTCCGGACTCGGTAAACAACATCTGCATTCAGCGTAAACATTAGATGTGCTATTTCGTTTGGAATAAGTTTTCTACAGGTGTAATTAAACTTGCAAACCAAATCTTTGTATCTATGGAAGAATTTAGTAAAGGTTTTAAGTAATTTGTTGTAACGAAATCCTTGACTTGATAATTTACCAGTATTACATAGATTGCCCTCATTAAAATCCAAAACGTTAATACAGAACCGGACACATCGAACCAGTTGGGATATATAAACACAGTGCCAAAGGAACATCACTGTTCAAAATAGGGAAAGGAAACTTTTTTGTGTAGTATATTACTAGTATGTATGTTAATTGGGTATAATTTATAGTTGATTTGTATAATGATAAACATTTCTCACTTGATATTGTTACATTGATGTTTGTCAAAGGTAAAACAAATACATTTCTACTATATATTTCCAGCTGTTGATTATGACAGCATAGACCAGTCGTATGCATTTGATGTTACGGTCAGCGATGGTTCTCATTCTACAACTGTTGGTGTGACTGTAAGCATTACAGCAGTTAATGAGCACACACCAAGCTTTACAGCTGTTACTGAAACTGTTGCTGAAAATCTGGCGGTTGGTACTTCCATAACAACATTCACAGCCACGGATATTGATTATTCTCCACATGATATTACGTCATATACGATAACAGCAGGTAGTAAACGATACTCTACTAATAGTATTGCAGTAAACAGTGTTACTTACATGTAGAACTGATTTATCAAAGGACGAATCAAAAAGCTCCTTTTAGAATGTCTTAAAAACTTAACTTCACTACGTTGATTTTGTCATATAAGCTCAATAAACCTGTAATTATTCTTGTACAATAATGTATAATGGAAGAAACTACCAGCTGGCAGACTTGCTAGATGATGCATTTAAAGAAAAACTGGATTCCAGGTAATCCATACTATCACTAAAAAAACATGTATATATACAGGTACTGAAACCGAACACATATCTTATGACTGCAGGCTTCTATTTTGTATATAAAGATCCCAACAAAACAGCATCTATGCAACATAAATATACTCTTCCTCTCAAAAAACCTGTTTGAGCACTTGTTGTGTCTTTGCATTCTTTTCGATAGTCTTTTCAAATATTTGTTCTTCTATTTCTACATGCTATATAAAAAAATCCTGACGAACTCCCTTAGAGGGTAATTTGCATATTTTTTTTAAAGATGGGATTCATATGAGACGTAAATGAATATGGTATAAATGACTAAATCCATGAATGAAATGACCGACACCTGAATTGACACTTATGGCCTCTTATAGAGTTTATAGCTTTCCAACTTGAGGGAGTTGATCCATATTTATGAACCCCTTTTAAAAATTGTGTTTTACGACACAATTCTCTTTCAAACATGGCTTATACCTTTACTTAAAATAGACATATATATATATGTATATTATTTCTGATTTTTATCGATTCTGATATATATTTATAAAATAATGTTTTAACAGTAAGCAACAGCGGAAGTGACAAGTTTTCAATAGATACAAGTTCTGGAGAGGTCAAATTATCACAGTCATTGGATTACGACACTTTAACTACAAAGTATTATGAAATAACTATTGTGGCAGAGGATGGTGGTGGCCTTAAGGTAAAGGAAAACTGTTCTTCCTGATACATACATGTCTACTTATATTACAAATTTTATCTGGTACATTTGTTTTGTTTATTTTGTATCATTAAAAATGAGGATTTAAAGGATTTAGCGGAATAAAAATAATAAGCAAAAAATACTTATGAATCATGTGCAATGTCATACCATTTAACGGATGCTCTCTGAGCTTTATGTAACTAAAGACAGTCTATTTATGTAAAAAGTGTTTATAAAGTGTATATAGTTTGTTTGACATCTATTTACTACAAATTGAATAGTTATTTTTTGTTTAATTCTGACTTTTTAGGGCACTGGAACTGTTACTGTATCGGTTACGGATGTAAACGATAATGCACCTGCATGTCTGCACTCTCTCTACGTGATATCCTTGGCAGAAGACACAAGTAAGAAATAGAAGAACTTTTAATTGTAGTTTCAACTGAATTTCGGGAACATACCAAACACTCCCTTTAAACAATTTTGGTCGATTAATAAATGGAAAGTTTGCAATCAAGCATAGTATTTTAACTAGATGAAGTCTAATTTGAACCTTTCGATCTAAAAACCAGTTGGTTGAATTTCTGAAGCTTTAATTTAACCATGGTATTGCTTTCAACTGATATAAACTTGTTTTATATTATTCTGCCGAGACTACAATGTGCTTAACTGAATCTGAAAAAGTACTCGTCCAATTTGTATCGGTATATTCTTATTCTGCAGAGTATTTAGAAGGATGTTTGCTGGAAAAATCATAGTGTCAAAATAATTCAGACTTGGTCTTGTGTTTATCAAGTACTTAACAGTACAGCTCAGATAGGAGTCATTTTACAAAATAATACTTTACAGTGAAATTCAGAAACACGTTTTCCAAAATCAAGTAAATTTCAAAATTTAAATCCGTAAAACGTTACATTCCATAGATAAATACTTGTATATATTTTCCCGAAATTCGTGTGTAATTTTCATGCTGAAATTGAAATCTAACCTTTATCAGTTATGCTTTGTATTATTTCTAGTTCCATCAACGATTATAAACGATTTACTCTGTTCTGATGACGATTCAAGTACAAATGGAGATTTAACGTTTACCTTAACACAATCACCTGGATCGATGTTTTCGTTAATGGAAACAGGCACTGTAGCTCTTAATTTGACAGGTATATGTTTAATTTGTTTCACATGCACAGGTAATGCAAACTTACATGTATGATCCTTAAATGTGCGAGGAGATGGTAGCGTTTTATTTTACAAAGTCAATGTTGTCTTCAAAACCTCACTAAAATGTTTAAACACATTATATTTCGCGTAAAGATAAACGATTTAAATAAACGGTCACGTGGTTGTATTATACCCACGTGAACGTTTATTTAAATCGTTTATCTTTACGCTAAATATAATGTGTTTAAACATTTTAGTGATGTTTTGAAGAACCCTTCCACACACACAAACAAAAAAACGCTTTCGGTCTTTCAACAATGCACACATGTCTTTGCAATTTTTCTTTCAAGTTGTCCATCCTCTTAGTTAAGGGAATACACTATGAAATATCTTAATTTTGAACAGACACATAAACATATTGGTGGGTTAAAGTAGATTTTGTTTTAAATCTCTGCTTCTTTTTCCATAATAAAGGTCTATGGAATAAGTTACAAGGCACACAAAAAGCGTAAGGTAATAATCAACGGAGAGAAAGGATAAGTTCTATAATATCGGTAGAGTATATATGTATAGCAAAAACACAAGTAATAGGACAATAAAAAATACAATTGCAATTGAATTCAAAAGCGAATGTCACCCGAACCGTATCCATAGTAACGACAGTCATTTTGAATTTTTCGAATCCTAACTTCTGATTTGCGAATGACAAAACACATTTCAGCTTCATTAAGATTGGTACAACTTTCAATTTTTCACAATTTTGCTGTTTCATGGTAACGGCGGCCTTTGAAATTATAAAGATGGATAGAAAATATACGCACGACAAGACACAATTCTGTAAAGTTTCATTGAGTTCTGAACATTTTTTCAATTTATTTTACGTTTCCGTGGCAATGACGGCCATTTGAAATTTCTAAACCATACTTGATTCATCAAGATTGTTTCAGTCATCTCCGAGAAATAACCCGAACAAAAAGTGTGGAAAATAAAAAATTTTCGACAAGTAGACTACAATACGTCGAGTCCCTTTTTGGGGTGACAAAACAAAACCGCATCAAAGACTGCCTGTTTACAGTTACTGAAAACCAGTTTTAGTACTTAATCTTCTTGTATGAAATTAAGTTGTCCTTTACTGACATCGACAGCTGTGCTGCAAAATAGATTTCATAAAATAACGTCATAAAGGATGAAGGGAAGCACATTTTTTTGCAAAGACCAGATAAAACAATACGGAATTTAAAGGCAGAAATAACTTCAAGAAGACACATTTAGTTTGAAATAAGCGAATCGATGTTAACCCCTAAAATGACAGACGAAAGGTTTGAACAACAACAGTATAAATATAAGCTATGTCAATATGTTTGTGTATACAACAGAAAGTATATGAAAGACATGCATTTTATACAAACAGTTATTTTTAGTAATGAACATTGAAATCTGTACATCATTGCAAACACACAAATATCTTGTCAACTGAGTATATTTTAGAAGAAGTCAACGAAGCATTATAAATAAGAAAAGACCTAAACATTTATAAACGAAATTTTGTCTCGCTTGTCATAAATGTTGGGTTGAAAATTGATATGCGAATTCAAAGGTCAAAGTCCTAAAAGAGACGATTATTATTATTGTTGATATTGGTTAGAAAAGTTTTAAGATGAAGTGTAATTTCATACTGAATCTATGACAGTGTTTGATTGTTACTGTTATAAACCTTTTCGAACAAATTGATGCAATTTTTAAGTGGAGTTCATCATTCACATATGTGACAAGTATATCTAAAGGTCAAAATAAATAATATTATATACACTTTGATATTATATACAAAAGTATCTGTTGGTATTTTCCCAGGTACTCTTAATTACGAGACAGTTACAGCATATACTTTAGAAGTATTGGTAGTGGATGGCGGAAGTTCACCTCTATCTACGACTGTTTCAATTGACATAACAATCAGCGATGTCAATGACGGAGGACCAAGCTTCAATGCAACTTATAATACATCAGTTATAGAAGACAGCAATATCGAGACTGTTGTAGAGACGGTAGCGGCTACAGATCCTGATCATTCAAATTCGACATTTGGAAATTTATTCTATTCAATCCTATCTGGAGATACAGATAGCAAGTTTACTATCGATTCTTCTACAGGTCAGATAACTCTTAATGGAAATTTAGATAGAGAAACAACGGACTATTATTTGCTAGTTGTGCAAGCAAAAGAGCAAGTTGGGACTTATTCCGCCTCTACAACAGTGAATGTGTCGATAAGTGATGTTAACGATAACATTCCCATTTGTATATTTATGACGTTTAGTTCAGAAATAGCCGAGTCGTCTGCTTCAGGGACAACTTTACTTACATTAAACTGCTCAGACATTGATACAGCAACATATGCAACCCTCTCTTATGCAATAGTATCTGGTAATACAAGTGTCTTTGAACTCTCTTCAAATGCCTTGTTATTGAAGACTGCAGTAAATTTTGAGTCTGATATTACATCTTATAATCTTATCATACGGGTTTCGGATGGAACAAACCTTGTCAATATAACAGGAACGATTACAGTAACAGACGTCAATGAAGAAGTACCTGAATTCATATCAGGTTATATTTTTTCACCGCACCATTTTATCAAATAAATCTAATGTAATTGCCCTGTGTTTAATTTTTTATCAATTATAAAATTATTCAAATAAAGAAATGATATCAAACAAATTAATTCGAATTATTCTATGACTATATACAAATAACTTCAATGAGAGAACAAACAACAAAAATAAATAAAGTGTAATATAATTCAAGATAAAATTAATTTCATTTTCTCATTTATGATTTAAATAAACAATATACTGAAGAATATTATTTATATCCCTACCAAAAAGTAGAAATAGTATTTATGAATTTCAATTTTACAGATTCAGTCCTTGAATTTTAACATTTTAACTGTGATGTTAACGATAGGAACTTTGTATTACAGGGGAATACACTATAAATGTACCTGAAAATTCAACTATTGGATCAACGATTGCTACCGTAACAGCCACAGATATTGATACAACTGATGTATTAACGTATACTATTTCGTCATCAACGTCATACTTCAGTATAGATTCTTCAACTGGCGATATTCTTCTTACAAAAGAACTGGACAGGGAGATGGCTGATAGTCATACATTAAATGTATCAGTGTCAGATAGTATGAATAGCAACTTTACAACTGTATCAATTACAGTGACAGATGTTAACGATAACGCACCAATCCTCAATCCAATATCATACAGGTACATGTACTTCCGTCATATATACCATGGAAATTAATAAAATACAATGAATCTATCACTTGTAGAATTTTTGTTAAATTTAGGATTGTATATTGTACCAATACTACGGTTGGGAGGTTTACTGCAACCGTTCATTTGTCCATAACTTATCACTGAGCTTCTGTATAAAGGAATATGTGATATTGTGTATGAAACCAAAGTATGACAAGCTGTATAGTGTAAGTGAATTTTAATCTGAAGGGCAGTCACTTTCTGTTTGACGATACTTAGAATTTTATTAATACCTACAGAACATTGAATTTTTCTCCAAATATTTCTCAGGTTTTTGTTTGGAGGAATAATTTGATGTCTATTTTTTAAATGTTAGCATAGTCTGTTGACTAGTCATCTGCTATTTCGTGATACTTAGAATATTTATTATACCCCTAGATAATAGAAAATTTTCCGTTACAAATTTTTCAGCATCTTTGTTTTTGCAAAATTTGATATTGGTTTGAAAATATTTTTTTATTATGATCTGTTCGGTGTAAGCGATTTTTTATTCTGCCGGGAAGTTACTTCCTGTTCCATCATAATTTAAACTTTTATCATATATACTAAAAATGAATGGTTTTGTAACATAACATTTAGGAATGATTTCCTATTTCTTCTGGAAACTTTGATGCAATGTTGTACCATGTAAGCGATTTTCAGATCTGCAGGCAGTCACCTTAGATTAAAGATACTTTAATTTTTTATACAAACTGAACATGGAATTTTTCGGCAACACTTTCTAAGTAGTGAAAGTTTACGGTTACGGCATGTGGGGAATGGTAACCTAAAAATACACTTAGCTATGCTAAATTTGACCTACATTTAACAACGCCTTCGGTTCCACTAGTAGAGCAGGAACTACTCACCCTTTCGGAGTACCTGATTCCATCTCTGGTTGTTTTAGGAATTGGTGTTGATCAATCTAATTTTTCTGTAAAGTGTTTGGTAAACTTTTTTCATTTTTTTTAATGGTATGATATGTCTTCCTTTCGACTTATAGTTTTTGATTGCCTTCTAATTATCGTTTTTTTCAGTCGTTTTTTATGCTCGGTATAATTTTTTTTTTTTTTTTTTTGCAACTTTACTCAATGCTTTTAGTTTTCATAGTTTGACCTTTCATGTAATCTTTGTAACCATTATTCAAACTGTGATGATCTGTTTATCTTCACATAGTATTTCAAATTTATTTTTAGAGGTACTGTATCTGAAGAAGACTTGGCTGCTGCTAGTGTTATACTGACAGTCGCAGGCACAGATGCTGATGACATACTTACTGATGGGAATGGAAATATATCATTTAGCATCATAGGTTTAGCTTGATTAAAATCCGTTAATTTGATATTTGATGTTCTAAGCTTAACATGGTTATTCAGTGTTCACTTATACGTTGTACAAGACATAAATAGTTTTAAAGCTTACTATACGGTAAAAGTGTTATGTGAGTCGGACGATGAACTGTAACTGTTAGTCTTAATGAATAATCTCATTGACAATCATATCACATTTGTAGCATAATTAGTAATATAAAAGTATTTATTTTACAATATTTTCAAGAAACAAAAGCAAACTTTGATTATACATGAAAATATATTTACAATAAATTTAACAGCTTTATTCCGCAGCACAACTTTAAATTCACATGTAGTTCCAAAGATACTTATACAAGAATTTTACTTTTAGATGGCGATCCAACAAACGACTTTCAAATAAATGTCTCTTCTGGGGAACTGGTAACAACGAAACAGCTTGATTATGAAACAACAACCTCTTATTCTCTTGTTGTAAGAGCTTTTGACAGAACAGGAGACAGTCAATCTTTGTCAGCGACGGCTTTTATTACAGTTTCTGTCACAAATGTTAACGAATTTGACCCAGTTTTTAATGCGACATATTCATCAGCTATTGACGAGGACATAGATGTCGGTACATCAATTTTAACTGTGTTTACCACTGACGGAGATGATGGTATCGCTGGTGACATTTATTATTCTTGCACACATACCAAATTCTATGTTGATTCTGAAACTGGGACACTTTATCTTAAGGATAATTTAGATTATGAAACAGCGACATCATATGAAGTTAATATAACGGCTACTGATAAGGGTAGCCCAGCACGCAATGAAACAACGAACACCATAATAGATGTAAACGATGTTAATGATAACACTCCAGAATGTTCTCCATCTTTGTATGCAACTGTCCAAGAAGAAGATGTTGCAATTGGCACGACCTTTGTCACTTTGACTTGTACAGACGCAGACAATGGGGACAACGGAAATCTATCATATACAATCACGAGTGTCAACAACGTTGCAGGGTCTGGATCATTTACGATCGATTCAAATGCGTCTGTAACAACAACTTCCGGCTTGGATTTTGAGAACACTGAAAATTATATTCTCGTTATAAACGTCACTGATGGTGGAACAGTACAGAGATCAACAACAGTAACGGTCAATGTTGCTGTTACAGATGTAAACGAACACGATCCCGTGTTTCCGTCAACAACATATCAAGTTAGCATTTCGGAAGCAATTACGGTCGGAACTGTTGTACAGAATATTTCAGCAACTGATTCAGATTCTGCTGATTTAGTTTATTATTATTTCAATAGTACTAATGCTGCATTTGATATTGACTACGTAACAGGCCAAGTAAAGGTGAAGTCAGCACTTGACATGGAAATTAATCCTAGCTATACTATTGTTGTTATTGCTTTAGATTCTGGAACGGTCAACTCTTCCCGGTCAACATCAGCAACTATTGAGATAACTATACTTGATGAGAATGAAAAGCCACCGATTTTTTTGACGAACTTTTATATTGTTTCATTATCAGAGAATTCGTCCATTGGGTCATCGGTCGTTTCCTTGAATGCAACTGATTCAGATAATGATAATGTAACGTATAGCATAAATTCAGGAAACATGTATAACTTATTCACTCTGAATTCAACAACAGGATTACTGGAGCTTAACTCAAGTCTCGATTATGAAAATGCTACGAGTTATACACTTATTGTACAAGCCGAAGATACACGTGGTTTGAGCAGTACTGTAACAGTTGAAGTTGTTGTTGTCGCTTATAATGAATACTCTCCAGTGTTTTCAGGAAATAGTTCAAATGTGTCTGTACCAGAAAACACTACTGTTGGAACAACCATCATGACTTTGTTAGCAATAGACGATGATAGAGGTGATGACGGTATAGTTCAATATAGTATCAACTCAACAACAACACAGTTCGCAATCGAAAGTTCATCTGGGGCTATCAAACTGACGGGTGTACTAGATCGCGAAACGATAAACGAATATTTTATTGATGTGTTCGCTGTCGACAGTGGTACAACACCATCAAGCTTTACAGCCACATATAGCTTAATTGTCAGCGTAGCAGATGTGAACGATGTAACACCAATATGTTCGTCAAATGCTATTACACATGAAATTGCGGAGGACAGTCTTATCTCGACAAATCTTGTTCACCTTAACTGTACAGACGGTGATGATGATCCAAATTTAATAAATAACCAAATCAGTTACACTATTTCTAGCGGGAATACTGGAAGTGCATTTCATTTGAACAACACAACTGGAGATCTAAGCTTATCTAACGTTTTAGATAGGGAAACAACGTCCTCATATAGATTGGTTTTAACGGTATCTGATTCAGGGACTCCCGTATTGACAACAGCCGTAAATGTTTTCATAACAATAACAGGTATGTTCTGTTTTAATGTTTTTAACTTTAATACGCTTTGATATATTGTACAAGATTTTCGTTTGTGAAATGGTCGTGATTTATTGTCTTTAAAATATTTCCATATTTAAACCCTCTTTTTTTTGTTCCTCAATGGTCTCGTAGCATTTCGCTCGGGAGGCCCTGAGCTTTGCCTCTTGTAGCGTTTAACAGAAAACTATGGAATTGGTACAATGTATTTGCAGCAACAAGTATATTGGAGAAAAATTCATCGACTGAAAGTCAGAACATCTGCATGACAGTACGTGTTTTCCAGTACACTTATCATGCGAGCCTGTATGCTAAAATCCGAATGATTGTCGATCCAGACAATTTATATGGTTAATTCTGTTAGACTAAATAGGCCTGCAGTTTTTGCAGCTTTGCATTTAATTATTATTGAATACATTTTTGTAGATATCAACGACAACTTTCCACAGTTTACAAAAAGCTCATATTACTTCTTGGTAGATGAAAACATTGCACTGTCTTCTGTTGTCGGACAAGTTTTTGCTACTGATTCAGACTCTAGCGGAGCAGGTATGTCCCATATTTGTTTACTCTGTAGCCTTTTAAAAATAATAAATACAAGAAAGTTTTACTTATATAGAAGGCTTACCATTGAAAAGTTGTTGATTCAACATATTGACTTACTGTTACATTCGTCCTATTTACACTTGACATTTTGGCGTGGGTATGTTACATTAGTGGATGTGTCTATGGTTGCCACACACACGCTTTGGAATAATGCATTTTATATTGGTCAAGTTGTAGTTTCCAGGATTTTACTTTTTATATTTGCGCATGTTTGTTGCATCTATGAGTTTCTGGTATCTTTCGTCCCTCTTTTGTTTTATGATATCGATTTTGTTATTTTTTTTCTTAATTGTTTGGAATTGTATTGGCCCAATTGTGATTATTTTTCTTGTGACACCTTCGATTCAGTACTCGTCTTATCTTTCTACAAAGGCAATTGTTCTTTAAGTTTCTCATTTTACAAGGCCAATTTTGCTAAACCCATAAACCATTTCTTATTCTGTGTTCTATGCTGTTAAAAAATAATAATACACATAATTGAAATACAAACAAAAATGAGAAAGGGAGAGATACTATTGGGTCCATAAATGGAAAAAAGACAAAACATGACAAACTAAAGAAACGACGAACAACAGTCTTCAAAATATTACACGGGAAAGTAAGGATTTGGCAAAATTGAACCCTTAAAAACCGGGATGGACCTCAGATGACCCGGAAGGACCAACAGTAGTACATTCAAGCTGCTGCTTTTAAAAAAATTAATTTTCGGATAATTGCAACTATTCCAGAGTTCTATTATCTGTCTCTATATAAGTTTCCTGATGCTTTATATTTTGAAACACGTTAGAGCACATTAACGAGCTATTTCATTTTCACAGTCTTAAAAGTGAAAATGAAGTATGAAAACAAAATATCTTTGCAAGCTTAAAGATGGCTATGGCTATTCGTTTTAGGTCCCGTTTGATCATATAATTATCAGTTATTGAGACAGTTGCAATTAATTAGTAGAACCACTTTTACTTTCTGTGTTGGGAATAACGCATACAGTTTATTAACACATGACTATATTTGTGAATCATCATCTAATATCTTGTATCGTATATCTACTAATTTGCACTGCCATATAGATGTAGAAAAAAATCACTTTTTGCACACAAATCTACAGCTGATACTTCTACTGTTCCTCAAACCATTGCTATATATTTGTTGCTCATTCTGCCTTGACCTGTCCTCCCTTAAATATTATGTAATTGTTATTGATATTTGTATTTTCTTATATCAAACAGTAATAGCTGGAAAGAAAAAAAAATATTTTGCAATTATGATTTCCTTTTCAAATATCAGTTATAAAATGCAACCGGACAGAACATCTTCACACTGGTAAATAATCCACACATACCTCAAACAAATCTCAACATTTATATGTTTTTCCGAAGGAGCAAGCTGTTTAACAATTAATGTATAACTGTTTTCAATTATTTTTTCACCAGGGCTAGTTTATTACACCATCTCATCTGGAAATGAAGAAGGAAAATTTGCTGTAGATCTTTTAAGTGGTAATATAAAAGTTATATCTTCTTTGGATACTGAGATAACTAATCTGTATAATGTTACAATAAATGCATCTGACAACGGAAGTCCTGTTCAGTTTGGTGTTACGTATGTCGTAATTACTGTGAACGATGTGAACGATAACTCTCCTAGTTGTTTGCATTCATTTATTTCTGCTACCGTCACAGAAAACGCAACTTACGGAGATGAGGTTGCACAGCTGACATGTTCCGATAATGATGACACCTCAAATCTGTCATATATTTTACTAAGTACAGACCAAGAGTTCGAAATGAATGCAACAAGTGGAGTTTTGAAATTAAATAACAGTTTAAATGCAGAAATTACGCCTTCGTTTGAACTTTTAATCAACGTAACAGACATGACATATTATACAACTGTAACAGTCTATGTTACAGTAAGCGATATCAATGAATACACGCCAGTATTTTCTACATCTGATTCTTACAATGTTACGATAACTGAAGATTTTCCAATTGCAGGAACTATTTATACTATAACAGCATCTGATAATGACTATTCTAATGATACACTTGTATACTCTATCGTCAGTGGCATTACAAGCTCGGAATTTACAATAAACTCCAACACTGGTATCCTTCTCTTACTAAAATCACTTGATGCAGAGACGACCAGCCAATACACATTAGAAATCGAAGCAACAGATGGTGTTTATAGTAATTCAACTAATTTAACAATTACAGTTTCTGATGTGAATGATAACTATCCGTCTTGTGACCAAAGTGTGTATACTGCATCATTTAATGAAAACACAACAATTGGATCCACCATTGTAGCTCTAAATTGTTCCGACATTGATATATCGAATACAGATCTAGTCTATTCGATTACATCGGGGAATGCAGACAACATTTTTGAGATAAACGCCACATCTGGAATTTTATCGCTTAACTATAGCTTAGATTACGAAAATTGTACGCTTTACACTCTTTCGATATCTGCAACCGATAATGGTACTCCTAGTCGCATTATAGATATCAAAGTTTACATAAATGTTATCCCTATCAACGAGGAACCTCCAATATTCGGGTCAATGGAATATAATATATCCGTTGCGGAGGATTTAACGCTAAACAGTAATATTATTTTGGTAAATGCGTCTGATTCTGACACTGGTAATTCCCATGGTACCATAACTTACGTTATATTCTTCGGTGATTCAACTGGTCAATTTGCAGTTGACACATTGGGTCAAATAAAACTAGTAAGACAACTGGATAGAGAAACAAGTGATTTCTACAATTTGACTATTTTGGCTTCGGACAGTTCTACATCGTCTGCTGATTCTATGACATCAACCGCTTTTGTTAGTATAATGATTTCTGACGTCAATGATAACTACCCAAAGTTTTCTGAAAGCTCATATTCAGTCTCTTTAATGGAAAACACTGTTATAGGTGCTACAGCACTGAGCTTGAGTGCAACAGATGATGATATTAATGAAAACGGCAAGTCTGGTTTTTTATATTTTATTATCTCCGGGAATACAGGCGATACATTTAATTTGTCTGACAACAAATTAATTTTAGCAGCTGAAATTGATAAGGAAACAGTATCATCCTTTAAACTTCAAATACAGGTACAAGACAATGGATCAATATCATTATCAGACAACGCTTATGTTAATATCGAGGTTTTAGCTGTGAATGAATATACCCCGGCGTTTGCTAATGACAGTAACTCGATAACGGTCAGCGAAACTATTCCACTTGGAACTATTTTGCATACATTTGCAGGAACAGACCAAGATACGGGAGATTACGGAACATTACGGTATTATATTGCTGACAACATTACATATAGCGAATTCTTACTTGACGAGTATACTGGACAGTTGACTGTTTGGTCAGCATTAGATTATGATACAGCACCAACAGAATACAACTTGACTGTCCAAGTGGTTGACACTGGATTTAACGGTTCTTTCTCTAAAGCTGACTATATGTGGTTATTTATAAATTTAACGGATGAAAACGACCACACTCCTACGTTTTCTCAAAATGTATATACATTCACCATTCAGGAGAACACAACTTCAGGCAGTTTGATCGGCAGCGTTGTTGCTTCTGACGAGGATTCTGGGAGCAATGGTGAACAAACATACTACATTGTGAGTGGGGATGGTGCTAGTGTATTTTCTGTCAATGAAACATCAGGTGAAATTACAACATCATCAGACATTGACTACGAAACGAAAATTTTGTATTCGATTGTAATGGAAGCCAAGGATAATGGCACAAGCAGTTTGTCATCGCGATGTTTAGTAAAAATTATAATTACTGACATTAATGATAATGCTCCAACTTTCCAACCTGACAATTTCGCTGTTAATATTGCCGAGGATTCTGTCATTGGTACATCTGTTACATCAATGTATGCGGTGGATCCAGATTCAGCAGTGTCAAACAATAACGTATTTACATACAATTTGATTTCTGATACCTTTACTATTGACTCCGCGACTGGTATGATAACAACAACTACGAGCTTAGATACAGAAAATATCACAAGGTAGGCAACGCGATTGCACATATACAAAATTATTGGAAAATATTTGAAACCTAAAGAATATAAGCAATGTATCTTGATGTCTTTCTATATTTTGAGAGTTGGGTGTTAATGGCATATCTTTTAAAACATAAGAAGATATGGTATGAATGCCAAGGAGACAATTCTCCACCAGAGACCAAATGATGTAGAAGCTTAGCAACGACATGTCACCGTACGGCCTCTAACAGTTAGCAAAACCAATAAGGCAAATATAGCAAGATATAAGAAGCCCCTAAATGACAAATTAAAAAATATCAAACGAGAAAAACACTGAATTACAGGTTCATGACTTTGCACATATAGTATGTGAAAGAGTTAAACATGTTTTGGGGCGCGTCAACCTTTCCCTAAACTGAGAGAAGAGTGGTGAAACAGCTCAACACACGCATTTTGATTGTTTCGGTTAACGTTATCCACTACTTTTATAGATTATGATGTTTTGGTTATGTGTGTCATTGCGTTGTGTCTAATTTACGTATACCCCACATCTCCATTTATGCATACCATTTTTACCATTCATGACAGTCAACTTTTAGGCGATTTCTTGTTAATGAAACATGAAAAGTTTGCAATTTGATGTTTGTTAGAAAACGACAAACAATCAACAGATCTGGGAAAATTCGAACATTTTTATTTATGAAATATAAAAGCTGCTATTATATCTATAATTTTAGATAATTTTGAGACATTGACATTATTGTATATTTAATGATTATGTAAATGTATTATGTTTGCAGCTATATATTAAATATAACAGCAGTTGACCATGGGTCGCCAGTTTTAACTGGCACAGCGACAATTACAGTTCTGATTGATGATGTTAATGATAATATTCCGATTATCTACGGTGATTATATGTCCGTAGTGTCTGAGGATTCTGGCATAAACACAGTCATAGCAACTATCAATGCAACAGACCACGATGACGGTAAAAATGCTGAACTTAAATATTCTATTGTAAGCGGTAACACTGATAATGACTTTAAATTAGACAGTGGGTTCGGAATTTTACAGGTAGCCAAAACACTTGATAGGGAGAGAACATCATCTTACGATTTATTAATAAACGTTACGGATGGTGGATCTACATTAAAATCAACCACTGTAAATGTGACGATTACAATTTTTGATCTCAACGACAATGGTCCTACTTTCACCTCCGTAACCTTTAATTTCAATACCACTGAAGATGCTGTCGTTGGATTAGAAGTTGGTACTGTGACTGCCAATGATTTGGACGCTGGTAGTAATGGAGAAATAACATATTCTTTACCAATATTTTGGTCGGGATTGAATTCTCATTTCCAAATCAATGACACAACGGGTGTCATTTCAACAGCTGCTGTTTTAGATCGGGAAACATATGATTCGTATACAATACTTTGTAAAATAGCAGACAATGGGTCACCAACATTCACTAACACTGTTAATATATCAATAACGATAACAGATGTTAATGATAACAATCCGATTTTCAATGATACAGTATATTCTGCCTCTTTTCCAGAAAATCAGGCAGTTGGTACAACATTGATATATGTTTTTGCAGCGGACGTCGATATTGGCGTAAATAAGGACATAACATTGACAATTGATACATCTACAACAAATGGACAAACAGCTGACACGTACATTGCAATTGATTCAGTGTCACAAACCTTAACAGTGAAGCAAAATATCGACCGTGAGATTACGTCATTATTTCAGTTCACATTACTAGCAAAAGATGGTGGAACACCATCAAGATTTTCCAACGCCTCCATTAGTTTTATTGTGGAAGATTTGAACGACAACGCTCCATCTTTTTCCTCCAGTTTTTACAATGCAGAGATACCATACAATGATAACTGTCATGTTACTGTTGCAGTGGTATCAGCCAGTGACAGTGATGATGGTGATATTGTAACATACAACCTAGCAACAACAGAATATTCGAATATATTTAGTTTAAATTCTACCTCAGGTAAGAACGTAACATTCTGTTCAAGTTAATACTGCACATAAGCAATGAAACACAGCTACTCAACGACAATGTAAACCCGTTTATTTTAATCATCAAAACACTGCTTTATGCGGGTACTGTATATACTTATTTTAAACAGAGGCGATGTTCAACAAATGAACCATCGTGGTGATATCTGATTTACGTTTTCAGAGATAATATAAAAGCTTAATAGCAAAAGCTTATAATGATTATATTTTATCAATCTGAAAAGTATCCTTTTGCTGTGCATAACTTTAACAATTCTGCACTTAAACTACCTGCATTTAAGTACATGATGTTTAATATGAACACAATGTTGTCGAATGTTAATGTATGAGGTATATTTTAAGCTTTATTGAAAGCAGTAATTTATACATTTTTTTTGTTACTCGTTTATTTGCTAAGTAGGCACATTTTGCATATTTACTGTTCTCAGGTGTGATATCGTTGGTCGCAACGCCTGGTGAAAACACAAAATATGAACTGGAAATCATTGCAAGCGACACTGCTTTAACTAACAGTACAGTGAAAGTTCGAGTTGACACATTCGAATCAGAGAGCGCAGTTGTGACTTTATCTCTTGGTATTAGCAAAACAGCTTTTGAACCGATTGAACAAACATTCATTAGCGAACTTGATTCAGTTATTCAGCAAAATTACAGTACTAGTCAAACTAGAAGATGGTGCATTAAAGCAACATCATATAGGTCAGTATCATTTATTTTACTTCATATTGAATAAACTATTTATTGTTTATTGTTATAATCTAATATTAACCAATAATAAATGTAAAAACAGAAATCAATTTAAAACACATAAAAAAAATCAGTTCATTAAATTCAATAACTTGGACTGTTATCCACTCGCTTCGCCTCGGATGACAATTTTTTCCATGATAACAATTTGTTTTATCACCCTCTCAAAAGATTTTGCGCAATTTTAGAACTCATATAATACTCTTAACATAAATATCCCTAAAATTCTAGATAAGTTCATTTCGCTTCGAAATCTCAAAATAAAAACCTTGAAGTTCCTTCATTAAATGAAAACTAAGCAAACTTTTGTTCTATTTTATTTTCTTGTATAATGCTAACAACATTTGTAAACATATAAACCTACACAGTATTAAAAATCTTATAAAAAAAAGTGTGGGGAAATTTAAGTAGAAAATTTTAAATAGCAACACATTTGGCACAGAAAAACTAATTTGAAATTTGAAATTTGAAACTCGAAACCAAAATTGGTAAAATTTTACTAGGTTTTATCTACCGACACTATTTGTTTCATGTTTGTTTAACGTCTATTATGATTAATGTTTTCCACATTTTTATGGATCGCAAAATGTAATGATGTACAAAGATACACAATGGTCTTGTTTGGATTAAGTGTAACAGTTGTACTTATATATGAAAATTTACCACAAAGAAAAAGGAAATTCATAATACCAATGAAGACGTATCTAGCTAACAAAGCACGGACTAAAACAAATGAAATCTACTATATAGTATAGTTTCGTTAAAGAGGCATATTGTTTAATAGTATCTCTCTATGAAACTGACAAGCTCAGGCATGTGTTACGAAATTAAATGGAATTCTACTATTTTATTAATGACATCTTTATTTAACTGCGTCTTAAAGAAGTGTATATGTCTCATAAAGATTCCATTATGATTGGAAAACAACAGTCACGTGGAACATTAATGACTGCAAGTATTCTCCGTTATTATGTTACAATAACCCGTGATTATCAGTGGATTACGTCAACTACAGGAATTGCCGTCTTAAGCATCATTTGTGTTCTAGTTGTAGTTGGTGTTATGTTAACTGTTCATTTGTTGACAACGTCAAGAAAACCAAAGTAAGGATAAAATTCAACCTATAGTACTACTTAAATTTATATGCTTAAACAAATGTTGCAACAAATTCTGGCTGGTTTTGGTTACTAGCTATCTAATTAGAAATAAGAAGATGTGGTATGAGTGCCAATGAGACAACAGTCACGTGGAACATTAATTACTGCAAGTATTCTCCGTTATTATGTTACAATAACCCGTAGGAATTATTAAACCAAAAAAAAAAACCAACCAATGACTTGATTTGACTCGTAACTTCTTGGTTTTAGCAGTTACTTTAAATGAAATGATTGAATGCTCTTAATGGTACAAGCTTAAACTTTGCGCCCGTTTTTTTATGCCCCGTCTAGGGGCATTATGTTTTTCGGTCTGTTCGTCCGTTCGTTCGTCCTTCCGTCCGTCCATCCGTCCGCCTGTCCTTCCGTTCGTCCGTCTGTCCCGCTTGAGCTTAAAGTTTTTGGTCAAGGTAGTTTTTGATGAAGTCCAATCAACTTAGTACACATGTTCCCTATGATATGATCTTTCTAATTTTAAAGCCAAATTAGAGTTTTTACCCCAATTTCACGGTCCACTGAACAATGAAAATGATATAGCGAGTGGGGTGTCCGTGTACTATGGACACATTCTTGTTTTTTTTTACTATGAAGAGATGGTCGATATAGATCCACTAGTTTACATGACTTTTTTTTTATCTTTATTTTAAACAGAAGTTAAAAACAAATTTTCGGAAAGGGATTCTCTTTATATTAGATTATATTGAAAATGCTCTTGAAATAAAACTGTTAATTGTTTTTTAGTTCATTAGATGTATCAGTGTATGTTTTGGAAAACAATGCTACAGATTCGGCAGATAATGTACCACAAAACAAAACTATGTTAAGTGCAGTAGTTGTAAAGTCACTACTAACGACTTCCAATGGATCTGTTATTTTGTCTGGTAAGTCTGTTCTACATGCATTGGTATGTAACAGTTCATTAAGACTATATATTTTTCTGTGTTTTACTTTTCATGCCCATCTACGATTGTAGGGAACATTATGCTTTCTGGTCCGTATCAAAATAAAGGTTTTTGGTTAAGGTCGTTAACATTGAGGTTGTAAACACATCATCTTGAAGCAGCAGGCATAATGTCCTATGGACAAGCATTGTTGTTCTAAAATGTTGGGTTTTTTTGGTGTGCATTGTATATGATAAAAATTGCATTTCTATATGCCGTAAATGCATCTTAGCTATTTATAGCAGCTGTTGGTATAACTTGAATGGTCTTCATACACAAACGTTAGTGCTCTTTCTTGCACATTTTCTAAAAGACATTTATATTTTTCTCAGTACAAAAATCCCATTTCAAAGGCTTACATTGAAATTGCTTTGAATAAATGTATGGAACGTATAGTTCAAATAAATTCCCACACGTTTTAAAACATTTAGTTGCTGTGAAGTCTTCCTGTATAATTTATTGATACAATGTACACATATCAAAATGTAACTGATAACCAATATCAATGCCAAGAAGTTTAACAGCTGATTCACATGAAAGATCAGTACTCTGAATACGTATACATGGATTTTTGCCACTACTAAAACCTGAAATTTGTTAGGGTTTACCTGCATTTATTTATTTTGAACCATTCTTATTCTCATGCATCTATATACTGGATATTGTCTTATGCTGCGCGCCAATTTTATAGAAGTCTTAACAGTGTGGTCTGACATCGATTGCCACGTCTAAATGCACAGAGATAAGGGTGCAATAAAGTTGTATTTCAAACACTTTTTATAAATTTTAGAAAAATAGATAGAACACTGACATGCCTATAGTTGGCTTTCTCGAGTTGGTTGTGTGTTTTTTTGTGTTAAGTTGCAATAATTATGCCTGCTTATGTCTTTTGGGGAATACACTAGTTTCTACAAATAAACTATTTTGTTCCCCGGAGGGAATTTATTTAAAATCGGCTTAATAGTTGTCACAAAATTATTCTTTTTGGTTCAACCTGAATGCTCTAAAAATAATTTTTCCTGAACATATTTTTAAAGTATTGTAACTTGGTTTCACTGCTTCCTATATTTTCCAGTATGTTCTTGTAAACTGTATGTACATCATGTGATTCCGATATACGGCTCGTCTAAGTTCACTATGCATGCATGGTAGTGGTTCTTTCCTTGGTTGACTCGTTTTAATTCATTATACATTTCTAAGATATTGTCAAAATTCATTATACATTTATCTCTTTATCTTTTTAAAACTAGCTGAAAAACTATTGTCAGATACTGATGAGAGCTCATAAATGCCCATCATCAGCCATTTCGTGTCATTTAAGTGAACCTGTAAATAAATGTTCTCGGAAGTTATCAGACTCTGTCAACTCTACGACTAGATGGAAAGTAATTAAATAACTAGTAATAACATAATGTAATAATAATTCATAAATACAATGATGCCCACCGTCTTGTTTGTTTCTATTTCGTCGAAGAAGTTTGTAGTCGTCCACTTTTAACAGGTTATCACTAAACGATTGGTCGATTTTTATTTCTGTCACTGACTATAAGAAGATCTTCGATTTTAATATATAGTAGTAAGTTTTTTGATCTCATCATGGTCTGTAGTACTTTTCCTTTGGCAAATCTATACATTTTTGACGTAACCAATATGAGCAGTCCTCGCATTAAAATGTATGTTGATCTTTTTACAGACTTTCGGTATTTTCCGTATGGACTTTTTCTGGTCCGGGATTAATAGAGATATGCCTCCAGATAGTAATAGAAGTCGCATAAAGGATGACTGATACGGGGTTCTGTTGTTTAAAAGTGTTCCGTTTGTTAAACATGTTTTTAAGTTGCAGGTCTTCTCGGGGACTCCTCTAGGGTGCAAGTAATCTAGCACAAACTCAGAATAGGACAAGTTTGTGGAAGTTTCTGAATAAAAACTAAGATCTTCAGTCTTATAGTTACTTTTTTGTACCCCTTGTTGCGATGGAATTGCAAAACAACGGATCAAAATCAATATTGTTGTTAGAGTTGATATTATCCCGACGCCATCTTTTTATTGTCTTTTGCATCATTTGAAATTTCGTCTATAACTCATTCAATGGGTCATTTTACGCAATGTTCTGTTTTTCCAAATGAGTCTTGATTAAATTCCGTTAATATGACGTCATTACTAACTGGTAACAACGGGACATTGAATTTTTATATTTCAGCAAAAGTTATAATTTATTATATAGTTTTATTTAGTATACTAGTATTAAGTTATTAAAACTAAAACAGTATCGATTCTCATTTAGTAAATGTATTTCTATACAAAAAAAAACTACAGTTCTAGTTATATGGTTAATTAATCCATGTAAAGTTTAAAAAAAACATACGTAAAAAAAAAACATACATCAGACTAACATATTAAGGGTATATATATATATATATGTGTGTGCATATAATAATAATGAAATTGAATGTCGATACAATATAATTGATTAAATGTACATTATTTACATAATTTGATCTCTTCAGGTGGTGTTTGGGACCAATTCAATATAACCGGAATTTCATCCTTTACTGCGACTATAACATCAACGGCTGGTGCGACAGATGATCAGTGGATTACGTCAACTACAGGAATTGCAGTCTTAAGCATCATTTGTGTTTTAGTTGTAGTTGGTGTTATGTTAACTGTTTACTTGTTGAGAACGTCAAGAAAACCAAAGTAAGGATAAAATTCAACCTATAGTACTACTTAAATTCATATGCTTAAACAAATGTTGCAACAAATTCTGGCTGGTTTTGGTTACTAGCTATCTAATTAGAAATAAGAAGATGTGGTATGAGTGCCATGAGTTGATTAAACAGGTACCTTTGCCTGGTTATTTAAAGTTAGCACGAATCGTTCTTTGTCTTTTGCTCTCTTGATCTTGATTTAAAAACAATTTAGTTAAGCCAATGAATTGTTTTAATCTTACATTACAGGATTAAATCAGAAGAAGAAATATTAAAAGAAAAAAGATTGGAAATGAAGGTTGAGGAAAAGGACTTGGAGAAACCTCCAGATGTTAAAAAACAAACTATGCTAATAGAAATTGGTAAGATGAACAATAGATTTAACCAGTGCAGTTAACACTATAAAAAAAGGATATAACTTAAAGAAGTTATAGAGCAATGAAAGTCATGCTAAATAAAATATTAGAATTTTGACAGACATCGATTAATTCTATCAAATATTGCATGTTTCTGTATGCGCTGCAAACACAGTTTATCTAATGATTTTTTTTTATTTCATGTGTTTTGTTTTGCTAAATTGAGTTTTATTTTTATCATTATTATTATTATTATTATTATTATCATTATCATTATAATTATAATTCAGTCAACAAAACACTTCACTGACAACTACTTATTGAGCAGTACAAACTTTTAAAACCGGAAGTGAAGTAAGGTACTCCAGTAGGAAACTAATAATATTCATTGTATATATACATAAAGCTCTGATACGTGTAAAATTCTATGATGCGTCAGTTTCGAGTAGAATATATAAATGTATATTAATGTTGGGCTGAGGCTATGACAAATGGAAAAGGACATCTGATACTGATTTGGGGTTAAATACGTGTGAACAGTAATATCAATTGTTGTTGTGTCGGAATTGCTTCAATGCTATGTTAGAAACATTGCATAGGACATTACACTTTAAGTTTATAATTCAGAGGACGATCTTGATGACTTGAAGACAGTACCGGCGACACGGCAACAGAGTAGAATAGGATCAGTCTTTAGTAATAATAGTAGAAGAACCCATGTATCAACAGACCTTCCAAAAGGGACACAAGTTTCAGCTAAACGCCCGTTTAGAAATCAAATGTCTGCGCCTAAATCTGACATTAAACTGGAAAATGTGGACAAATTTTATGACGAAATCGACAAAAGCAAACTACCACCGCCAGTAATAGTAAGAGGACCTATGCCAAAAATAGTAAGTTTCTTATAAATGGATAAAATACAATCATTTATGTTACATGCAATGATGTATAACATTTATATGAATTTCGTCAATAAGTTTTCGTTGTATTAAAGTTACCGGCTTTATGGCGCTAAGAAAACCATATACTGACGAATCCTTATAAAATCGAATGGAGCTGCCAAATTATCCACTTTTTTTCTATTTTTACTTATCGTTTTATGTGATTTCACACGTTTTTATCTCATCAAATAGTAGATATCCAAATGTAGTACTGCAATTGACCTTAAAAAATGTTTTTATGTTGATTCTTTTAAATACAGTGCTACTGACAACCTAAGGTAGAACCTCATTTAGTTACATTATGTTGATACACTGTATCTATGAATCTTTAGGATATCATTTGCACTGACATTAGCTTAAATCTCAGCAATTTGGCCAAATTCTGTAAAGTTCACAATTACCCTTTAACTTCACGTTCCGTCATGCAAATCGTGTCCTCTCAAAGTTTCAAAGGAGATTAACTTCAACAGATACTTACATCTAGAAACTGACATTGATTATCAGTTGAAAACTAAACTTAACGACAACAGAGATATTTCGATTTTCCCATTTTGAACTTTCCATTTTATAAGTAATCATCCAGTAGCGGGTTCATGTGAAATGTCTAATTCGCAGCTAATACGATATTCCAGGTCTTTCCCTGTTGACCGTTATGGAATATTTGTGTCACAGATGACCATGGATATGTTTAATCAGTATCCACAATCCTGTTCCCTTTTCCTCGTTTATGGCATCACTGAATTCGACTTATTACTATGTTTTACTTGCCATAAACAACACGACGGGTGCTACAAGTGGAGCATGAACTTCAAAAATACGTGATTTAATCCTAGGGTTTTGGGGAGGTTCTTGTTGCTCATTCGTTGGTTTTCCGTGTAGTTACTTGTGGGCTGTTGTTCACCTATTCGTCTTTTTTCCCTTTAGGCCACGGACTTGTCTATTTCTCTTCGACTTATGATTGTTCCCTTAGTCTTCTCTCCCTCTTATTTACCTTGAATATCCAATGATTAATGACGTTGGATTTCTTTATTTTTTATTTACATCTATAAAATGTATATTTGTATTAAAATCAATTTATCGGAAGAGGGGACAAAATGCACTTTTTTCTTTATATAAACATGATTATAATTTTATAATACCAAAAATTGTCCATCTTACAGGATTTCATTTTTTCGGACTGCAAAGGCAAACTATGACATTTGAATGCAATCTGTGAAATATGTTTGAATAACACTACGAGATCACTTCGAACATTTTTTATTTTCATAAATTTTCCCTGTTTCAAGTTACACAATTGCTTGGGATTCCTCTTGTTAGGCAGAACCATAAAACATGAGGGAGAAGTTGTACATTCTGTATTTTTCAGGACAGAAAAACACATTACAAAGACAATGATTTTTGGAATGATATGGCACTTCCTAATGTCACTGGGTTCAACGGTTTTTCAAAAGCAAAGAAAACTGAACATAATAAAGTTGGAAGACCGATAGTAACACGTGTCTATGATGAAGGTAAAACAAATGTTATAAAAAATGTCACATGGCTTATTCTCTGTTGCAAAAAGCAAAAACGTCATATTACGAATTCTCACTCTAAGATCAAGTTTTACCTCTGGAAAAGGGATTGTACTTGTTCATTGTAATGATGATCATTGCATGGTAAACAAGTGAATAATAATTAAAATGTTTCGGCACAAATCATAAAAATGTACTCTTGCGTAACATGGATTTCCGAACCTTTTGAAACAAGGATTATTAAAGCATAATTCAGAAATGCGAGTCAAACGCAGAAAAAAACCCAAAAATTACTATGTTTTATTTTTTAATAAACGGAGTTGTCTCTCTTGGTGTATGACACATATATATATATATAATGGTTATGATAAAATCGGAAGATATCAAAATCAGAAATGGTTAATTTCTTCTTCGCTAGATTAAATTAAACTTTAAAGCGGTGTTTAAAATTTAAGCACTTAAAAAATCAGAAAAATTCAACATATAACAGTTATCCAAGATATATTCTGTTGTTACTTCAGTACTTCGGCAAAAGATAATGTGCTACCTGAAACTAGTGAACTGGCGGATACAACATTTAATTTTGTTTAAGCATATCCCTTTTTTATATTTGTTCTTTTCTATACATTATTGTGGGTTTCTATTTACCGTTTCTGCTGAATTTAGCCTCCGTGTCATTTTTGATTATTTTTTTACACAAAACATGTCCTTAAACTAAAGACTGTTGTCTCATTTTGTTTGGTAAAAAACCCCACGCAAATGGATATGTTGATTGTATTGTTTAGAATACATTTCTTATTTTGTAGTTGTGAATATGTTATTCAACTTTAAAGACATGTTCAGCAATTCAGCATGTTGCTATTTTCCGTTATCTGTGTATAACATAGTCCGAGATTACTCTGACGTCCAACGGCTGTTTTGCCAGACAAGCTGGGGCCGTGGGACGTCAGAGCTCGTCCCATATTAAAAAGTGGATATTTGCCCGTCCAAAATATATGCGCTGCTTCGTCGCTTCTGGTGCCAACGGACGGCCTTGGAATTGTCTAAATATGAGAAAATAAAGGGTGGCAGGTAGGTGAAACTTACATAAATGAAGAGGTAAATGAAAAATGAACAAATTGATACCCGATTTATATAATTCCAAGGCCGTCCGTTGGCACCAGAAGCGACGAAGCAGCGCATCTATTTTGGACGGGCAAATATCCACTTTTTGATATGGGACGAGCTCTGACGTCCCACGGCCCCAGCTTGTCTGGCAAAACAGCCGTTGGACGTCAGAGTAATCTCGGACTATGTATAACATAAAACCGTCATTCAACACAATAATATATGTGAGAGAATATATTTCTACAGGATTCTATGCGGATATCACCTAGAAAAATTATCCATCTCGCTAGCTATCACAGAATCATTAAGGACTCTTTTTTCTTCTGTCTTTTAATCAGATTTGATATACTTATTAAACAGTGTTGTTTCACTTATTTCAGCTTCTAGACAGATTGTGGAAATAGACTATAAAACAGGTACCAAAAAATACATTACTGACAATTGATTATTCACGATATCTGAAATATGTAATGTTTGTTATAACGACATATGTTTTATCGTTGAAGTAATAAGTTTTATTTTTTTTACATCTAGTTTTAATGTTTCACGATTGAGTCTTTTGTAGACGTACAATGATATAAGCCTTATATATATGATGAGTTTATTTTTTCAGTAACCAAGAACAGGTTTTGTATGTGTGTCTTGCAACCGGTTTTTTGTGGGTTTCGTTTTTTGCCATGGTATTTGTCTGGTTTTCTTCGTCTTGTGATTCTGGGTTGTTCTTTGGTCGCTCTTGCCTCTTTTTAAGACAATTATTGTAGATTGGTAAATGCGGTGTGCACGTAAAGCTGGCTAAAATGTATCCCGACCAATTTTTGAGTCTGTACTAAATCAGGTTTTGTGATCCATGTTTTGTTCGTTGTTTTTCTGTAGTCTTTTTTTTTCGACACGAGTCGGATGTTGGTGGTAAGTGTGATTCGTTGAGCTGTCCACTAATTTTGGTAATTCAATTTATCCTTAATATGTTTTATGTAGAAATCTTAAAAATTAAGGAGCTACAAAGGAGGTATTAAAAAAGTAATAGAAGAAATACAATCAACACTAAAGCCAACAAATAAAAAGACGCTTTATTACTGTTAACATGTCATAACAAAATTACGGGACTGAAAGCCATTTAATTCATTTTATAATTTTTTTTTTATTTTGCTGACTCAGAAATCAACTGGCAGATTGCATCATTGAAACATATGAGGCTCCAAAGCATCGGAGTGATAAAAGAAGTGCAATTTTACCATCGAATGCAGTATAATATTTTATTAAAAATCCTAAATCAAATTAGAAAACAAAGATGTATTGATGAAATTCGATCTTATCCTTTATGGGAGGGAGAAAACTTTAAAATCGGTGGTTCAAGTGTTTATTATAAAAACTGGGCTGAAGCTGGAATTTGGACAGTGCATGACTTGTTAGATAATCAGGGCAAAATTATGTCATTTCAAAATTTCCATCAACTATATCAATTTAGAACAAATTTGTTTACATTATTATGGAATAGCACATTCGCTTAAATAGTGGTTAAAAGTTATCAATATATATGTCAAGGAGAAAAGTTCTCAAGCAATTTTGCCTTTCATTATAAGTATTTTCTTTTTAAAAAAATTCAAAGGACATGTACACAGTATTGAATGAGAAATATATTACTTTTTCTGCAAAGGAAAAATGGGGAAACCATCTTAATATGACTGATATTAACTGGAAAAGAATAAACCCTTCATGTTCAAAATATACAAGAAGCACAAAGCTTTGCTGGTTCCTGCCTATACCAAAGTATTCCTGACTGTACCAAGTCAGGGGTACGACAGTTGTTTTCCATTCGTTTGGTGTGTTTGAGCTTTTGATAATATTGCCATTTGATAAGGGACTTTCCGTTTTAAATTTTCTTTGAAGTTTGGTAATTTTGTTATTTTACTTTTTTCCAATATAGAATTATCCATTTTGGAAACTAATACACTACTTTACAAGATGAAAATAAGTAGTAGCAATGTATGCACATTTTGCAAAGAAGAACCAGAGACCATAAAACAGCTATTTTGGAGTGATCATATGGTCTCCAGTCTCTGGCATGCATTAAGCAATTAGATTTTTGAAATGACAAATATTGAACTGCCTTTGAATATCAAAATTATTCTATTTGGTAACTTCGAAAATATTAAATTGAATTTTGTTAAAAATGAGATTATTTTGCTTACAAAATACTTTTTTACCGAACAAAATTACAAGAAGTATTGCTAAATTTAAATGCTTTAAAAAATTATTTAAAGGAAGACATGAACTTAGAAAAATACATTTCATTTAAAAAAAACCTCTCTGAAGAGGAATGCAACAAATACTGGAGTCCCTAGAATAATTAATAAATGGTGTTTTTTTGGTTTATCAATTTTGATTTAAACACCACAAATATATATCAAGGAACAAAATAAGATTCCCTCGTTATATGATAATTATCTATGTTTAACCTAATGTTGTACCATTATATATTCATTTGATTTAAAACTTCCTCACTTTGAATATGCCACTTATGTATACCTTTGTTCATACATGTTGTGCTAGCCTATTTGTTACAATAAAGCAAATTCATTATAAAAAAAAATGTATTTTATTGACCATCGAAATGAGTTTTTATCATTATACCCCATGCAAACAAAGATTTTCAGGGTATGCAAGATTCACCCTGTTCATCTGTCTGTCTTTCTATGTGCATTTAAGCGCAAATAATAACGGGCCGTATGGAAATCGATGTAAATTTACACAGTTGTCAAGGAGGTGCATAAAAGAATATGTTGTAAATTTAGTCGTTTGCTTACATTCATCAGTACTATTGTTGAACAACTGAAAAATTGACAAAAATGCGAGATGTGTACATGTGAAAAAACCAAAAGCTGCTTGGTAAGAAATGTTAGAAAATGGCTTCTTTAAATGGCGATGGAGATGTTTTCCGATAATTTTATTTCATGGTAAAATGAATTTGTAGTCTCAAATGATGATTCTTACCTCATTCAAACAACTTGACTTGACTAGAAATTACAATGGGAGTGCTTGCAAAATACATTTACGATATAAAGAATAGTTGAATGTTTGTGTTAAACGTTTAGAGGTTAACATTTTATGCAAATTCAGAATAAAAACAATCTTAATTTAGAAATTTCCCTTGTTTTGTGTAATAAGGTACCTACTTATCCCAAATTGAATTATTGCAATGGTTAATTCAAAATGCAAAAATAATGACACTCTACTGGTGTAGGGTAACGGAATATCGTTCCTATTAGGCAGGCACTTGACTGCGTGTTTATACATCTTGCACAACTAAATTGACATCCTTTGGAACGGGTCTTCAAGGTACATGTATTGGTGAATGGGAGAAATCTAGATGGTCACATTTCTTTACCCATGTCAACCCACGGTTTCTAACAAAATGATTAAAATACACACTGAAACAAAATTCATCTTTGACAAGAGTTTATGCAACTAAAAGCTTTGAAAATGATAACATTAACGATGCAAATTTTTCTGCACCAGATGCGCATTTCGACAATAAACGTCTCTTCGGTGATGTTCAAGGCCAAAATATTTAAAAATCCAAAATTTATAAAAAAAAATATGAAGAGTATATAACCTAAATGGACAAAAAGTATAGCCAAAGCCGGGCAAAGAATCACAGCTTTGCATGAGGGAGATATATTCCTTAATTTAAAATAATTTTCAAAATTTAGTAACAGCAAATTTTAAAAACACAATATCCGTATTTTCATGCTAAAACCGAAGTACTGGCTACTGGGCTGGTGATACCCCCGAGGACTACAAAAATGTAACAGTCCACCAGCAGAGGTATCAACCCAGTAGAAGTTATAACATTAACGGTACCAATTTTTCTGCACCAGATGCGCATTTTGATAATAAAGGCACTTCAGTGGTGCTCGAGGCCAAAATATCTATTTGAAAATCCAAAACTTGTAAAACAATGAAGAGCTTATAACCCTAAATGGACAAAAAGTATAGCCAAAGCCGGGTAAGTTAGTAATAATTAATAAACAGATATGATTATGCACCAATAGCTCTAGTCTAGTGGTTTTGAAAACTGAGAACGTTTTGTCCAATCAGATTAAAATATAAGTTTTGTCACATTCATCTACGTTGCTTTGCTCTCGTGAAAACAATATTCGATTTCGAAATGAAATTTACACTAAAGTGTCAAATGTTTATCACCTCGAACAAATCTTAAGATATATAGATATTCTTTAGTTAAGATCATATCGTTTTGACACTTTCGTGTCCATTTGTTTAGAACAATTGTCGATCTTAAACCTATTATAAATATTTGTAAACAAAAGCTTAAAGTAAACAAGTTTACAAAAAATGATGGCCAATTTGGTGTATCATATTTAAGTGGGAAAATTTATCAAGATTCTATAGAACTGAAGAAAAAAAAAAACTTTTAATAATAATTACAAAGTAAAATGGTTTCTGTGCTTACACTATTACTGAGATAGGCGAACAGTGTATTAAATGGAAAAAGATCATTGCTCAGATTACAAATAAACCTTATACATTTAATAAATGAAAATCCAAAACTTTAATTCTCAACCCAAAATCGTGAGCAAATCCACTAACACTGTTCAATACAAGCTATTAAAAGAAGATATGGGTTTAATGTCAATCAGCCAGTAACCGAGCGACAAGAAAACTCCAAGATATCTAGAAGTCGGCTTGTTGTATTCAACTATTGACAAGGGACTTGTATTTCAAGCTCTGAATTGCCCCGAGTCTGTGAATATTTAAACAAAAATTAACTATTCATATCAAATTCCTTTTACAACAACCAAAAAAAATGACAACCACGGACGAGATTTCTGACTTTAGACTGTACATGAAAAGCAATTAACTCTAGTTACATGTATAATTCAGATGAAATTTTCTACAAAACAATAATAAACAATAGTTTCAAACAATCCTCGCAGTTACCAAAAACATACTTCCAGTATTTCACCTGCTGTCATCTTGGCGACTTATACTCTAATATTGGTTGCTGTACTGCGGTCTGTATAACATACAGCTATGGCATACATGATACAGAAAGACAGCAAACAAATGCCCAGAGTTAACATGTACATAATGTCGGTGCACAAAAAACAAAAGATACATCTAGGACTTTTTAAAAACAGTTATTGATGTTAACTCCAAACAATACCAGACTTTGTATTGGTTTTTTCCTTATTTGTTCTTTCAACAAATATTAGATTTAAAAAAAAAAAGGATTGATGGTATTGATCTGTGAAAAATTGAAAACTGCAATTATGGAGTTATTATTTTTGGAACCTCTGGTTAACCTCAAACTCTATCTGCGAATATATGGTATATGTAAAAAAAAATGCAATGATAAAACACGTTTTGTGAAAATGATTTATTCATATTTTCTAAGGTTTTCAATGGTATTCATTTTAAACAGTAGGTTTCGGAGGTCTTGCATCGCTTTTGTTCATAGTTATATTAACCCAAAACGAAATTTAAAAGAATATATACTAGTCCGAGTATACAATCCAACGTAAAGGTGGTCTACAGAATATTTTATATTTTAACTCAACGTCTAAATGTATCGATACAATATTTGCTGCTCTTTACCGTCAAGTGAATTGTGATCACTGAAAGAGCACACAGTCAACCCTTTAATTGGTACAAACAGAACACCAATAAATCATGTTCCCTGTTTTCACTTTCCGAATATTAAATACGTAAAGGTTAAAACAAAATGTATTAAAGGGACGTTTAATCAACTTAGCAGTCAAATTCATGTTCACCGATTTGACCAAAATTCTGATGTTTGATTTATCACATACTAAAACGTATATCTTAGAGAAACCATTAACAATACATGCATGGGGTCGCTATAATGTACCAGCATTTCGTGCGTATTATAGACCAGACGCCATCTAATTATTCATCGTGAAGACCTCCGAAGACTGCCGAAGGTCATATAACCCGATATAAACACAAATATAAATATATATATAGATACAAATGTAGCGAGCACGCGCAGTCGTATTTTTCCAAATGTTTGATTTCGTGAATTGGTTAAAAATATATGTAAATCATCGTTTTACCTGTATAAGATTGATTATTTGTGGGCCGGATTAGTCGACGAAATGGTTTTTATTTCTAGTGTCACCCTAGTTTCACTTTTCAATGTTGACATAGTTTTCTTTTTAATGATTGAACATGCTGATTACCACATGCGGAATATATGCGCAACCCAGCTCCCAGACATGCAATTCAATAATACACCAGTGGTGTTTTTTTTATTTTTTTACCTTATTTTGACGAAATTGAACCAAACTGATTGCGAATAACGAAATATTATTTCTTTTTTTCCGCTTTTATAAATGCTTAAAACAAAAACAAAATCACATTTTATATTTTTGTCGAATTCGTAGCTAAAGTCACTTTCAGGAAATAACAGCTTTACCTCAAATTACAATTTTACTGTCTTTGTGGGTTTTTTTATTCTACTTTCGTCCTCTTACTTAATGTTTCTGAGATATAAATATTTTTACGGTAACAGTACTCCACTTTCAAAAGCAATAACGATGTTAGGAACTTTTTATTTAAACCTAAATCAAAATAAGATGTGGTATGAATGCCAGTGAGACACCTATTTATCAATGACCAAATGACGTACGTGGATATAAGCAACTATAGGCCAACGTATGATTAAAAAGTGTGTTAAATGATCTTCAATGAAGAACAGTATTGCAAAGAACGCAGAAAAGAATTGAAATAGATACAATCAATAATTTTAATAATAAATATCAAATAAGTCTTCTCAATTTCGCAACTGTGAAATTTAATAGATCATGTTTTTATCTTGATTGTCTTCTGACATATTACTTTTCAATTCAAATGCATTGAAAACAATGAAAATAGTGATTGACATTTTGTTAAGGTAATTATTGCTTTCAGTGTATCTCGAAAGTTATCGTAGAGATATGGTTCTTCTAAAATCTTACTGAGGTTACTTGCACTATCAGTTAAGTTATCATGCCGTCAAGTATTTTCTATTTCTTTATTTTAATTTCAATGTTCCTGGCATCATTCCCTCACGAAACAGTATACCTATAATAAATAATAGGTGTGTTTGACATTTGTAGTCATGTGTTGGTCAGTGTTTGCCATTAATTTCGGTACATAGTTCCCGAATGCATCAGTATATCTCCTTTTCAAAGGCGAAATCAAATGCTAACAAGCACCATGTGATTAGATTTATCATGTACTCTTTAACTCTAGATACGCTGAGATACTTTAAATAGTTTTCACCCGTTCAGAATGTCGTTCAGTATGCTTGAACTTATATGAACCAAATAATGACTACTACATAAAAAATAATAATATGAAATACAATGATCTTATTTGTCTTTTGGTTTGTGGTTTTGTGCACAAAAGTTTCAGACTATTCAAATGTGTTGGTTTTTCTTTGGTGATTTAAGTATTTGACAATAAGAACAAACTGTGCCTCTAAATCGCACACAAAATATTTGTTTATAAAAAAGAAGATGTGGTATGATTGCCAATGAGACAACTCTCCACAACAGACCAAATGAC